CCGAACACTTGATAATGGTCTGTGAAGGGCCTCACCCTATAGTTCAGTATGATGGCGCAGAGTTTTTCAAAGCACTGGGGTTTAGGGACAGGGAGGGCAAAATAAAGCGGGTAGAATTAACTAAAAGGAGGTTATCAGATGAAGTCAAGGCACGAGTGAAAATTAAAGCATTCACTGCAAAGTACCAGTCCTCAACTTCACTATTTAAAGGAAAAAAAAGATAAATCTGGTTGCTGGGTCACTAAGTATTACGACTAGGTGGCGTTAGTCGCCGCCTGATCTAAAGGGTACAGCCACATGAATCCATTAGGGGAGCAGGCGGCCGGCTGCAGTTTCCGCCACCACGGCGCTGCAGGCCAACTTTGCACTGAGCAAATGAGGGTCGTCTATTACAGCTAGGCGCGGTGTAGCAGGTGAGCAGCGCTTACACAACACCACAACTTCTTGGTTTAGGCACGAGGAGCACAATGTAGAGCCTAGATGCATGTGCGGCGTCTTTCCATGTCATTGGTGAAAATAATAGCTCGCGTATAGTGTAGTGCTAGACGAGAATTTGTCGAATAAAGAGCTGTTTTGTCGTCCTGTAACTTCTTGTTCTTCCAGGTAGTAAAGCAAAGATTTAGAGCTCAGTTGTACTTGAAACGTCTTACCGAAGCCATGGTAAAGGCTGCGACTCGTATAACCTATTTTTGCGAGTCTAGGCGTAGGGATCTTCAACGTTGTGGACATCAACTTGTACAGCAAAAAGCACCCCGGGGGGCCGTACCCCAAAGGAAGTTGGAACCGAGCCATTGCTGTAAGGTATCGGCCACATTTAAAATCCCACTGAAACGATGCTATTTTTCTGTTCAGCTGGTATATAAACCAGTGCACTTTCTTCTTCTGAAGTATTCAGATTTATGAGTGTCTGAGAGTATAATACTTAGAATGATTACAAATCCGAAACTTGTGAAAATATAAAGACAACAGTGTGTTGACACAAAAAAATTGTCACTGTCACACCCTAGTCACGAGCATTTGAATTTCAATATCAAACAAGCGCATAGCTGAATTCCTGTAACAATTCAGGCTTGTGACAGTCAAACAAGCCATAGGACAACCACTTTTGTACCTATACCCATTCGGTCATTTTTTGCATGATGGATGTACTATGAAGGGACATTTTCTGCACTTCAGGTAAATCTTCAACTAGATCAGTGAGAGTCGCTGGGGATGCAGTCTTTTTTTTTTTTTTTCACTCAGCCGGCGTATCTCAAGTTTTCTCCATTCTCGAGCGGCAGTGCCAGAGATCAAGCGTTTCCTTAATTCGCTAGTTGCAATCAACACATTGTTCAGTTGTTTTTGTTATTCTGTTTTTTTTTATCACTGTAACCGCTAAAATGACACAAGACACACATACGTCTGTTAGCACCAGTCATGCCCACACGGTCCTTGTAATGAATATTTCTTAGCGGCGCACTTTCTCCTTTCGCTGTGCCAGTAGATGTAATCTGTGAATTCTGCGTTATAGAAGGTTATTACGGGAAGTTTTTCCGCCTGCTCAAGGACCGACGAAATCTAGTTGCAATGGAAGTTGAAGCACACTTTTTTTTTTCAATCGCTCAGAAAAACTGGAGTCCTTCGAAAGGATTGGGGACCTCTTGCCGGCATTATTCTGGCAGATCGCAAGGCAGCAGTAGTTAGTTGTAGTACAAGCACGCTTTATTTTGCAGCTTCATTATAATTACACTGGGAAATTCGGAAATAATCAAAGAACTCCATCACTCCTCGATGTCCATGCATCTTGGTCGGTTTAGACTTCTCCATTTATGATATGACTATATGTCTTCAGAATGTCGCTTTCTTGAGAGTAAACACCGTCCATCTTGCGCGTCTTTTCCAGACTTTTCCATGAATATTTCCCACTTTTGCAGTAACAGCGCGGGTCGGACGGCGAGGAGAAGTGGTGTTTTTAGGGTCTTTTCTTCTACCCGCTGGTGCGCCCGGCCACCAAACACATTGTTATGATGTCCGGAGGGTCTGAGCTATGGCGCACGGGATAGCAGCAGCAGTAGAATTACCCTCGGGAGACGTACACATGTGCTCAATGCGTGTACACATGGTCAATGCTTAGATTGTGTCCAGGATGTCAACAATCGGAGAGTTAACTACATCGTGGATGTCTGAGTATCTTCGTGACTGTAGGCGTCGAATTGTCTTCAGAAGACCGTGCAAGCATGCCATGCGACGAGACATACACACAGAAAAAAAAGTGCGACCGAACACCAGCACGGAACGCACGAAAATGCAGCGGCGGTGAAGCCAGCGAGAAACAGCCGGTTACTTGGCGCAAAGTTAGAGTGCAAGCGCCCTCACACTCCCTAAGAGCAAATCGCACCTACCTGGAAAGGAGGAGTTCAAAAACTAAAAAAAGTATCTCTAAACGCTGGAACACGTAGCACCAGTGTCGATGTCGCAGGACACTCCATTTTCAATAAACTCTCGTACACTGCTTGCCGTCAAAATGCAATAACTTCCACCCGAGGGATTCGATTCAAATTCGGTCAACACGACCTACGCACACTGAGCAATAACAGGAAGAGCTCAAGTCAATTTTGAAATTTGATGTTAGTGCTCTTTTAATCAAGTGAAGTGTCCATGAATCTTTCGTATGTGAGGTTGCTATAGTGATGTGTATTCTTGGCGACATGTTCAGGTGTTCATTGTATGCTCGCGCAAGTGTACTTATACATTTGATGTGATTTGAGAATAAGGCTTAGTTGGAAGTTAGCGCTCTGCCCTCTTGTGTCTGTCTGCTCGGTCATTTCTTCTTTACTGCAATGCGTCATACCAGGCCAAAGATACAGCCAACACTTTGCAATTTACTAATACTTGTATGACGTACGTGACAGCATTTTCAAGTTAAAGCCAGAACTTAGAGCCTTCAAAACATACGTGCGCGTCACCAGTCCGCATTTAACTGTTGCACGACGTGAACCGCAGTCAGAGGCTTTGCAGAGTTTCATAGTCAAGGTTACCACAGTCCTCCGTCAAGGTTACTCAAAACAATAACAGGAAACCTACATTATCACACTTTCTCATGCGACCGGCTGTGGAAAATGCGAGTAGTTCGCTCACCCAACATGTTCGCAATAGCCCGTATCCAGTGCTCTCGCCGTTCTGCTTCGTGCGATCGCTTCAGAAATCAGTACAACTAAAGTCCTTTACGTCTATGGCAGTTGATAACACAACAGTAGCATCAACTGAGAGCTTTCTTCGTAATGCGTGGAGCTGTTGCGTCTGCTCTTGTTTTCGCCGTCATTCTGGCAAGCGATCCAGCAAGCACTTCATGGCGATTCTGTTGCGTGTCCAACTAGTGGAAATAAATTAGTAGCACTTTTTCTAAGTTTTCAGTGCGCAAACACACCTATAGAGCTTAATGATTGTATTGCACTCGCTAGTAAACTCTGCAAGGACTTTGAACAACCCAAAACTGCTCCGACAAATGGCGCTACATGTGGGTCAAACTCCTGAGTCATACGTCTGCTGTCGCTTCAGGTGCATTCATAGCGGCTGATAAAGAACTTTGAGGTGTAGATGCCACGAACTCTTTTAGTGCCTTTGAAGGCTTACCAGAGATCCTCTCGTGACAAGAACAGCAGCATTACTGTTGCAGAAGACATTTACAAAAACTGCTTTGCAGCCATTTGTAATGAAATTTGACTTGTTACTAAATTAGTATTAAATTACTACTATTAGTACACAACACTGCATCAATCTCCACAATTTTGTGGATGCAGAAACAGTTTGCTTGCCAATTAGCAACGATAGAGGCTGCTAAACATTTTCAAATTTTCAAGCACTGATTGCCTATTATGAAGCCTAGACAGGTCAAGACACAGGGCTGTTCCTTTGGGTTTGCTACGCTTTGGTCAGCACTATAAATAGCCGCTCATGGGCTAGTTTTTTTTTTTAATAGTGCACAAGTAACTAATATTCAAACTGCATTATCCATCTTTTTATAACACATTTACTGGATGCAGTGTCAATAAAAAGGCAGTAAAGGTCAGCCAAACATAATGTACAACAGAATTTGAAGCAATCCTCCATTACCGAATATGTTGCATAAGCGTGTGTATTTTGTATGCAGTTCGTAGGTATGGATAATTAATAGCTCCCAACTGCACTCACGTAATTGGTCAAAATAGCTTTTTGGCCATTGGAAGCAAAATTCACATCACACGTGAGGGCAAGAAGCTTTCTGAACAGCTGATTCAGACTTTCCAAACTGATTGCACTGGGCTCATAGAGAGTAGCTTTTGATGATGCTGAAATTAAAGGAGGGGCAAAGCAAACTTTATTCATGAGCATTTGGAGAGTATCCGAATTTTTCGCTCTACAGCCACTTTTCTTTGGCTAATAGAGTAATGTCATTTTTCGCTTCAGCACCTTCACAAGTTCTCTCCTCTAGTTTCCTTCCCGTGTATTGGTGTTCCTCCAAATACTGGCTTGCCACTGAAAGCTTCACCTTTTTTGTCATTAGGGCAATGATCGGCCACCAATCTTCTTTACAGGGTCACAAATAATAGGTTGATTAAAAGCAATATTTCAAAATTCTGAAGAAAGGCAGAACACTTGCTCACTCAGTTTTCACTTGCAAACAAGCCATGTGTTTGGGCACTGATCTCCATCTCAACTGAGCGTTGCTTTAAAATGCTGCCATTACAGATCACTATCTTCTGAGATGTGCCCTGCTAACTTCCATATTCATGTTCGTGGATTCATTAGTTAGAACTTTCAAAAGAGTGTCTGTCTCAATTGCAGTTTTTTTTTATGTAGGACTTCAAGCAATTGTACGAACCCCGATTTGTTAAAGAAAGTGCCAATAGGTGCTCTTATTAGCGATTTCTCAATTTCTATGACATACAGCACTCTATGGATTAAATCTGTAAATTTTACATGATGAGAATTTCATAAATGATGAAATATTCACACATAATAAATGACCACCAAACAAACAATGAAGTTTGTTGACATAATGCTTTATATTATATCGAGATTCTTATCACGATTCACTTAGCAAAATGCAGTTCGTATTAGCGATCTTTAAAATCTAAACAGAGAGTGGTTGCCCCGATTGCCAGCATTTGAGCGCACCACAGGCTCATTATTAGTCATTTTACATTCTTATGACAAAGAATACAGTCGCCATATTAAAATTCAGTGCTAAGAACTTCAAGTACTACTGCAAGCTTTGAGCAATGCATCCACTTGCATTTGAAATGCACAATGTCTTGCAAAAGATGCCCTGCAACAACATTTAACATTTCTTTCACGATTTTGTTACAGTCTGTATTTCATTAGATGCCACTCTTTGATGTCTCGTTAATTTCCCTCTAAATGTGGGCAGTAACAGTGGTTCAGCAATTATAACAATGCTATGTTTCGAACTTCACCATTAAATTTGATGAGGTGTCAAAAACTATGCCTAGCACATGATAGCTGCAGATTCTAGCTGGACCGACACTGTTGCAGCCATTCAACAGGATGTCAAACTGTCACATTATGCATTAATCCGATGTTGTGAAATATGTGCACTAGATCGGCGACTTGCATAATAGCAACTTCACAAGCAAACCAAGCAAAGCCAGTAAAATGTGCTGACCATAGCTCGGCTTTGCAGAATATAGTGATACAATTCAAAATTAATTGATCTCCATGACGGCATGAAAATATAATTAATAAAGGTGCTTAGTTAAAAAACACTTTTTTTTAACCAATGGGGCTAAACGCACCTTGCACAGGTTGTGCAAGGTTAGGCACCTAGCTTATCCTGGCTTTCTTTAACTTCTCTTTTTCCCACCACTATGTAGTGAGGAAGAAAAATATGTGTGCAACTTCCATGCCTTTCCCTCTACATGGTCTCTCCGGAGAGTACTAGGGCTGAACTAAACATTTATTTACAACACATTGACATCGTAGTTTTGAAAATATACCCCTTCTGCCTTTCCAGCAGAAGGTGCATCACACCGCATTTCCAGCAGAAGCTCTACCAATCACAGAATGTGACACAGAATTAAGATCCTTCGTTACAACCTTTTGAAGAGCCTTGACTGTGCCACACTTTCATGACCCTTTTCTCTTGAGGCAAGTGACATCAGGGCTGTAGGGCAGCTGGAGAAGCTTTGTGATGCAATGTTTCACCAGGAAGTCCATTAGAGAAAAGGTTCTCAAGCATGTTGGTGCCAGGAAACCCTGCTAATCTACATTAAAGGGTCAGTCAACAGGCTCCAACTCCCGCGCTCCTTTCCTACGCCTGACCAATGGCCCTTGCACGCACAGTGACAACAACTCATTAAAGGGTCAGTCAACAGGCTCCAACTCCCGCGCTCCTTTCCTACACCTGACCAATGCTCCTTGCACGCGCAGTGACGACAACTCGGCGACGTCACGCAGCTCGCAGCTCGTCGGTTGGTCTAAACCAGATCTGAACAAACAGTAATGAAGTCAACGACAGTTCCTGTTTTTACCCACAGCTTTTCAAAGCTATTCAAACATACGAGTTGCCAAGCTCCTCATAGGCTCCAGGCATCGAAATCAAAACACTTCACTGACCCAGTTTTTGGGAGCGAGCAGATTGTCGTGCCAACTGTTGGTCAGCACACCCACTATTAAGCGCATTATATGTGTTTTGTGTTGCTGCTCCGGGATGGCATGACAGTCTGTTCCCAATATATTGAACTCCAGAAAAATCAAGCCAACTTCATGTCCGGGTTTTGGAAGACAGTTTTGCTGCAAATCGAGTGACTAGGCTGCGGAGAAACATCGGCACCGAGTGAACAGTAAACAACCAGGCATCACAGCAAGTGGATGTGCATTGGGACTGAACGAGTTTGCCGAGCCCCTAAATCGCTGACGTCTTGTCACATTGCCAAAGCAGGCTAAGTCACGACGAAGGGCCACGTCTCCCCCCCCCCCCCCCCCCCTCCGAAGGAGAAGTGTGGCGAGAATGCGTGAAAACTTGAAACCAGCTAAAGACGATCTAGACCCTGTAACTTCCTTAATATAGCACGTATTTGCAAAATTCGTGAGGCAGCATGTTCACGAAGTAAAAGTGCGCATATTTCTCTTTACAACAATTTTTAGATTTAGGCCCTTTAAGTGCCAAACCCCCTCCTCCTCCTTGGCAAGCTTTTTAAATGTCTGATGATGTGCAACCCACGTGATGTGCCATTCTTTTTTTATTTTGCCTTTTTTAAACCTTTCGACTTTCCAGATACGCTAGTGGCACCTTCTTCAAATAGCCGATATGCGCATAGTGATAATATAGGATATAAAACCTCAGCGATTTAAGCCACCACGCATCCCCTTTTCGAATTTGGCTGACTACAAACTGCTGGTGGAATTCGTTGTGCAGCTCATGCGTTTGTTACACACTGAGATACGCTTATTGACACCCAGGCATAAATAATAGAGATTACCTAGATTGATCGCACCCCGGTATCTCCATCTAAGGTATTTGAGTTGGCGAGTTCGGAACCAGGGAAAATGTATCAGGGGCTCGAAAAATCGTGGGGAAGGCCACGGAAACCACTTTAAAAATTCCTGCATTAGAGGAATGTGGCTCGATGCACTGTCGTAACTTTTTGCCATTGAAAGGTGTCTTGGCTTTTGCTCATCTTCAACTTGCTCTCTTCAACTATGCCAACAATCAGTATTGCTCTCTTCTTTCGTAAAACAATTGGTGCCACTTGAAAACTCTTGATGAAACCATGGCATCTCTCCCATAACCAGTCTCGATTCTGCCATGGGTCTCACACGCTGTTTTGATTTATTAGTGGGGTTTAACGTCCCAAAGTCACCATATGATTATGAGAGACGCCGTAGTGGAGGGCTCCGGAAATTTCGACCACCTGGGGTTCTTTAACGTACACCCAAATCTGAGCACATTTCCGCCTCCATCGGAAATGCAGCCGCCGCAGCCGGGATTTGATCCCGCGACTGCGGGTCAGCAGCAGAGTACCTTAGCCACTAGATCAGACGCTGTTTTACCCAGTTTGAAATAAAACTATACCACGTAATGTAACTAATAGAATTTATAGTGGCGATAACAAGGCACCTTGACAGGGGTTCATTTCCGTCAAGGCTCAGAGACAACTTGCGACTGGCATCCTGGTAGCTAAGTCGCTCCATCACACAACCGGCACAGGAATACCCCCCTCCTTTACAAATATTTCCCGAAAAAAAATTTAATAATAATTAACGGTATTCACGTCTCAAAATCCCAATAATATTATGAGAGATGCCATACTGGAAGGCTATGGAAGTATAGACCACCTGGGGTTCTTCTAACGTGCACCTAAACCTGGCATGCAAAAACCAGTCCTACTACTTTCCGGACAAACCCTGTATTTTTCTTTGTTTCTCAGCAATGCTGACCTCCTCGCACTCACTTCTCCTAGGGTACTTGGATAGCTTGTTTTCACTTCTCCTAGGGTACTTGGATAGCTTGTTTTCACATCATAGGTACGTGAACATTCTAATCTCACTTCATTAAGATTCTTTTTACCAAGAATTGCCCTTCCCTTCATTCGGTCAACCATCCTAGACCCTATGCTGGACAAACCAGTGAACATGTCCTGCAAGCAAAGCAGAAAAGGAAGAGGAGGATTAAGATTGGTTGGGATAACGAGAGCACATGCCTGTTCATGACAATCATTTTCTATCTACAACACACACCAAACCTTGACGATAACAGCTCTGCTGTGAAATTGGTCTTCCTTTCTTTAGCAACCTTTCAATCATTAAAAAAAAATATATGATATACGTCACCCAAGGATGGCAGTATGTTTAGAAATGTGTGGCACTACTACAAATTCTACACACAATGTAAGCTTGTAAGGAAAGGACAGCACTCATATTCCCGAGATAGGCAAAACATTTTTGCCACATTAAAAAGACCCTGAAACAGTCTTTTTTTAATGAAACAGTCTTTTTTTTAATTTGTTGAAGTTTAGGCTACAGCATCATCAGACCATTTGCACCACAAATTTATTGACACGCCATACACCAAGTTCGCTAGGAACAATCATATCGTACCCGCCTCTGCTTTGCCTCCCAACTAATGAGATGCTGGCAATCGAAGAGCTCTCATGAGCGCACTCAACGTTTTGACCTTTTCAAAATTCAGACCTCCCAGCATACACGGCGACAGGTTGCGTGAAGTCTCGGAGGCCATCACACAGTGCACCCGGCAGCACACACGCTGTCTGGCAACAGAGAGAAGATTGCGGAGTGGTTGATATCTGCTTCGACAGGCGCCGTCTTAGAGTTTTCTATATGTACACTAGAGGGAACTCTGGCACTAGTGTCTATGGAAGCTGCAACGCATGGCGCTTCGGCATGAAATAGTAGATGAATTTACCTAGATTTTGTACTTACATTCCTTTGGATTCGCATGGCTTGAAGCTGCTTTGTCACGAAACAATGGCAAATATTCAGCAGTTGCACTTCACCATTTCAAATTGGGTCACAAAGTTCAAAAGGGTTCATTCTTTCCTTCAAAACAAAACCAAAAACACCAATAAAAGAAACCACAAGTGCGATTTGCCTCCCGCAAGTAAAAGACTAGGCAGATCCAGACTAGGCAGATCCTTGATTGGCCACCCTAGCAGATGATGTTACTTCCACACATTCTACAGCCAATCAGATCAGCAACTTATGTGATGTCTCGTTACTAGAGCATGTTGTTTTGTAAATGAGCGGTTGAAAACGCATTTGGCCGAGTCGCAGCAATCTGCGGTCTTAAAGTATTATCATAAATTACAAAGTTTATGCAGAAAGCTCAAACCGGTCTGTAAATGACCTTTGGAAATTGGTCTACCAGCGAAATATGTTTGTTCAAAATCGTCAACACTGTTTCAGGGTCCCTTTAAGGTCACACTTATCAAGCAAAAGCAGCACTGGTACCAAACACACATTCTTTCTAATGTGTGTGTGTGTGTACACATACACACACGCACAAACACACACGCACGCAATAAAACCTCATTTATTCGAACTTGTTTATTTTGAAATCCCACGTAATCCGAAGGATTTTTTTCGGTCCCGTGTTTGGCAATATAAAGTTGAGTGGGTAATTTGAAGCGGCCGTCAGCACCAGTCTGATCAATTTGAAAACTTGCAACCATTTGTGCCGATTCCCGATTCCGATTTACATTTACATAAAAACTGCAACCCTCAGGAACCACAAGGCAATGCAGTGCAGTGATTCTAATGAGTGACAGATGAAGCACCCAAGCCACGCTTCTGCCACCACGAAAAAACAAAAGAAGGTGGGTCTTGTTACTTACCTAAATGTGCGCCTGCAGAAAAAAAGACATGCTTCATTGCACTGCAGTAGTGACACGCGGATAGCACTTTACATGCTTCTCGCAACGTCAGCACATCATGAATTACCCATGCTTTCTGGGAATATGAATAAACTATTGTGACGACGCTCGTTGCTGAAGTTGGTGATGAGCACTTCTGCCCGCCCATTAATTAGTGCCAGAACGTCTCTCGCTATTGAAACACCTTGCGTAAGCAATAGCGTGTCTATTCGCTCCGCTATTACCTCATTACGGCACGGCCGTTCACATAACACCGACACAAGGCAGCAAGATCTCGGCAGGAGCATGACATCATCTGCTACACGTAAACGTTGCAGTTGTTCTTCAATGGTGGCGTCGACTAAGGATGGGCAGAAAAGGTGACGATACGTTCTGGAATGTTGATAACAGCACCATACTCTCGCAGAAAATCCATACCCAAAATCAACTCTTTACAACAGTCCGGTAAAATGACAAAAGTGGCGACGAAGTTCGAATCATCGACTACGAGCCGAGCGGTGCATTTACCGGTAGGCGTCATTAGCTGCCCACCAGCACTCCTTATGCTCGGCCCACTCCACGGCGTCTTAACCTTCTTAAGGCGGTCGGCAAGCTCTTGTTGCACAATAGAGAAGTCAGCACCAGTGTCAACCAGTGCTGTTACGTGGTGTCCGTCTATAATAACGCTGAGGTCCGCACGTACGAATTTATTGGCATTAGTACTCGAGCTTGTCGTCGTCTTCATCATTACCGTCGTCACATCGTCTTTGTGTAGAGGCAAGGGGGTCTTTTTGGCGTCTCGGCGATTGGCAACCTTGCCCCCGGAGGTCGCGGCAGTTAGTTTCCCTGGCACGGGCTTGGGGAGGGGTTTCTGACGGCGTCAGCGTATCCTTGGCTATTCGGGGAATTCTGACCTCGTGCAGGTGAGGGAGACCGCCAGCGACGAATTGGTGAAGACGCTTGGTTGGTCGGCAGGTAATCAGCACCATGGTCACGAGGGTCTTCAGAATAAAAGGAAGCGGGCCGAGACAAGTTTCCAAACCGGGCTTCTCGATGACAGCAGTAGCGCGAGATGTGGCCTGGTTCACCGCAGTAGAAACAAAGGGGTCGACGGTCGGCAGTGCGCCACAAGTAGGTCCGACGTACTGGTGGTCGCCGCACAGGTTCCCGCTGCCACCACGGCAAGGTAACAAGCCGTGGCTGAAAGGGTGCTTCTTCTGGGGCAGACGGATGACGGCGGACGGCGTCGACATAGGTCAGTAGACGTGGTTCGGGTGGTGCGCGCCAGTGATGGAAAGGCTTGCCGTAGTTCCTGGCGCACGATTTCTGCAACAGAAGCAACTGGGGGATCGTTAGACGGAAGGCCGAGGGCCCGCAGCTCTTCCCGCAGGATTTGTAGAATCATTTGCCGTAAAGAGTTTTCGGAAACGGCAGCGTTTTGAGCGGCGGCACCAACAGGCGTTTGGTCGGGCAGGCGGTCAAAGTGGCGGCATCGTTGCCGGAGTGCCCGCTTAATGACAGTCGCCTCTTTAAGGAATTCATCCACTGTTGTTGGCAGATTTCGTACAAGGCCGGCAAAAAGCGGCTCCTTAACTCCCCGCATCGGGTGACGAACTTTCCTTGCCTCGGGCATGTCAGGGTCAGCGCGGCGAAATAGACGGGCCATATGCTCAGCGAATATGGCCACGCTTTCGTTCGGCTTTTGCATGCGGGCTTCAATCATCTGTTGTGCGAGATCCTGTCGGCCCGCACTCAGGAACGTCTCGAGAAGCTTTTGGCGGAAATTGTCCCAGGTTTGGAAAGTAGGCTCCCTGTTCTCGTACCATGTGCGAGCGCTATTTTCCATTGCGAAGTAGGCACGGCCAAGTTTTTCTTGCACGCTCCAACGATTCACCACAACGGTCCGCTCGAACTAGTCGAGCCAGTCCTCGACATCTTCATACGGTTCTCCACGGAAGACTTCGGGAACACGAGGAGTCTCATAAGTTAGCTGGTAAGGGTGAGTCGTCTGGGCCGGAGGAAGATTCGCAGACGTTGAAGGGGCCGCCATGTTGGTAACAGGAGATGCCGTCAAGAGTTCTAGACTTAGGCCTAGTAGGCGCCCGCTGAATCGGTGTACTGGAGTCGCAACAAGATGTTGAGGCTCCGGACTGGGTGTATGGTCCCGAACAACGCTTTCTTGCATCAGGTTGCAGGCCTCAGCACCTCCACCAGTGTCGCGACGTCAAGACAGAGGTCGTACTTGAAGACGCTGAGAAAACAGCAGTGGGTCGGTCTTTTTATTAACCGCACGCGCGAGAGAGAGTTCCTCGTCTTTCTCGTTGTTGCATTCTGCATAAAAGCGTGCAAATGCGCGTACGCACTGTCACCTTCGTCTTTTTCGCGGGACGCACGTGACACTATAAAGGTCACTATGGGTGCAATTCGCTATGTATGCGAACTTAAGACTGGTGGTTGCTCCAGGCATGCTCGCACTTGTACTGCTGGCGGAGCTTCTGCTTGCAACGCCTACATTGAAAACTCAGCTAGAAAAGTTCAATGATCATGCTTTCCAGCCAAAACACATTGCGATTACATTACACTGGCCATTAATAAATTCTTTATTTTGCCAGAAAGAATGGGCAAATGGTCTCATGATGACGCGCTGACGCTGCACGGAGCAGGTGACATGCTGCCTATGTGTCACTACTGTATTGCAGCGAAGCATGTCTTTTCTGAAGGCTTACAATTTGGTTGATCACGAGATTATTATTTTTTTTTTGCTGGCAGCAGCGGTGACTGCCATTTTTCCGTGTTCGCGGCAAAATTGGGCCGAGCTATTGCTGGAAATCATAACTCTTTGAGCTCGAAACTATCAGACACTGCAAATGACCACCTCTGACCACTTTCAGAAATTCAAAGTCCCTTTCACTCCACTTATTGCATGTTTCATTATTTCGAAAACCCACTTAATTCCAAGATTTTTTTTACTGTCAATGACTGAATTAACGAGGTTTTACTATATATATATATATATATATATATATATATATATATATATATATATATATATAGCAATGGCACACGAGATTTGAAATCAACACTACCAATGGTTGGTATGGCGTTGCTGTGTGCATGTCCCTTACTGCATTTTCACACTGATGCAGTTCTCAGTACAAAAACTGCTGTCTTCCGAATTTAAGACACATTGAACAACCTTGCAGGTCACTGATAAAGGCTTTCTGTTCAATGCAAGCAAAATATGCAAACGCTGCCACACTCGTAAAAGTGGTTTTGTTGAGCTAGTGCTAGGACACTTTTGCTCCACTATGCGTAGGAAGAGTCAGTCTACTGTGCTACAGTGGGCACTTTGTCAGTGAGATTTTCAAAAAAAGGCGACCATCCAGGCAAGAACCACAACCAGCAGGACAAGCACACCACCAGCCCAAGGCCGTAGTATTGATGAGGCATTGCAGCCATTACCGCTGCAGGTGTAGATACAGGCTCGATATTCCCGATCATCTCCAGGTCGTTTCACATAATCACAGTAATGGCCCCGGTCACGAGACGAACAGAACCGGAATGTCCCAATGCGACCTGCACATTGAGGCAAACAAGTGACAATATACAAACAAGCCTCTTCACATAATAAGCGACACTTTACCGGCCACCAAGCATTGAGCAATATGCTTTTCCAGCCAGCCACCAGTTGGTGCAGTCATGCCGCTGCAGTACACTGCAGATTTTTTATTCGCACGTGCCTGTCAAAAGGTAGCACTGTCGTGGCTGGCTTGGAAGCAGCATCATGCCAGCCAATCGCTGTGTGAAAAATAGACAAGAGTTACCTGATAACTTGCGAGCCTTCTCCTTTTTTTTCTTATACATGAAATCATTCTTCATAGACATAAATTTCACCAAGGTGCATTTAGGCCTCAAGTGCCTCACCTTCTTAAAGGGAGACGCTACTCCTACTACTAATCTGTATTGATTTGATTGATTTGTGGGGTTTAACGTCCCAAAACCACCATATGATTATGAGAGACGCCATAGTGGAGGGCTCTGGAAATTTCAACCACCTGTGCGCCCGAATCTGAGCACACGGGCCTACAACATTTCCGCCTCCATTGAAAATGCAGCCGCCACAGCCGGGATTTTATCCCGCGACCTGTTCTGTAATCTGTAGCCTAGGGTAACAAAATTTATGCTGTTACATAGGCTTTTATGCTCATTTCAATTCAATAATCATAATAGTTTGCATAGTTTTTGTTCTGTACCATAGCAATAAGTAAAATATAGTTATTTTTAAACAGTTTTCTGCCACTAAACTTTGAGCATGAAGAAAAGTGTTGGTTCTAAGGGCTCCTTTTCTTTATTTGACAAAATATTAATGAGAACTAACAAACAACAATGCCAGGGACAGTATAGCAGATGTATAGAGAAAGTATAGTGTGTTCCCCACTCGCCATAATGGCAACAAGTGGTGCCACGTTTAAATGCACATATATACCCTATAAAGTGGACGGAGGATGACTGCCATCATAGCTCAGTGATAGAGAATCAGACGCTTTATTTGAAGGCTACAGGTTTGGATCCTGCCGGTGCCAAGTTATCTTTTTGCCCACTTTTCTTTTTCACATTTACATTACCATTACTTCTAATAACGTCCCCTATACTTTCCCTGGCATTGTTGTCTGTTAGTTCTCATAAATTTTGTTGGAATGTGGCTTTAGTAAACCCCTTATGCGAAAAGCAATGGAAAGCAGCCATGAGAGCATTTTCAAGGTACTCTAGACAATGAGCACTTTTTAGTTTTTTAGTAGCCACCCTGTGATCTTTAAAAGCGATTTTAACCTACTTCGAGTTTAACTCTTTCGTTACCACGCAAAAATGTTTATTTTTTACTTAACTCTTTCGTTACCACGCAAAAATGTTTATTTTTTACATGTCTCGGGAAGACAGTTTTTGCCAGTTTGAGAAGTACTCCAGCACACATTGCAGCATACCAAATTTTGCACAATGAAGTGCTCTTTCCAAAAAATATATATCTTGAAGAGCAACAAAAATATTTGGGAATGAATAAAAATACAAAAAGTGTAACTTTTGGTTGCCAGCTGTTAAACAGCACAATAAAAAACTATATCTTAAAACATTGAAAAAAAATTCAAAATATACATTTCAAAGATAAGTAACCCAAGAAGAGTACAAAAAATAAATCCCGTAGAAATGGTGTTATTCACATGCACAAAAAAAAAAAAATTGGAACCGAGATACTGCTTCATTGCTAGTGCCATGCAGTAAAGCATTGCTTGGTTTTTTGTGAGAAACTTGTCAACTCGTACACTTCTTTCAGTATGTTTTTTTTTTTCATTTTTGTGATCAGAGCCTGCAGATGTTCTAATATAAATGAATGCCCGTGATGTGAATAATCCCTCTATAAATCAGATAGATATCCAATTAACTTGGCTATCTTGTCTAGCCTCACCTTTTTCCATGAGCCACTTCACTCTGCATAGGTTGGCGTTCCAATATATGAATCAAAGCATATTTTTTTACAGTTTTACACATCATATAAAAAAACAAAAAAGAACAATATCGTGTGCAGTTCTGAAATGTTTTGTGCTGTTCCGTAGTCATGACCAAAATGTGCTCTGGTGGCCTTCTTGTCGCATGGAAAAGCTCTGCAGCCGGTGGCAGCCCGACACGCCCCAGCAACGTGTGGACCTCGCACGTAACCAGAGTAGCTATAAGATTGTGCCCAAAGGTCAGCAGCTATGCACTTGCGACGGAAGAGACAACTTGAGGCATTGAAAAAAACCCCCATGAATGGCTGCGGATGTCTCAGGCTGACGCAAAACATAATCGCCATAAAATCTGAAGCTGATGTGCTGCTGTCATTAGACTCTAAGCTTGTCCTCACTCAATCCATGTGTGGTTGAAAGACAGTTTTGAGTGGCGTGTGTTTTTGCAGCGCAGGTGCGGACCCATGCGTGCACGACGACGACACCATAGAAGCAACTAGTGACACTAGATGCGGCCCTGTGTGTGATATAATGATTCAAGCCGAATCAAAGTTGTTGGAAACTGGCTGAGAAGGCCACCTCCACACTTTATACATACGGCGGACTTTCGGAGATATCTTTTGTAGAATGAATTTTCCCTGACTCCCAGCAACAACTCTCTACTGTGTAGCTGGCATAAATTTCTGGCAATTATTACTGCTCAACACTGTCAGATTTCAAAGCTGACACTTCAATTCAGTATTTGGCGTGCAAAGGTTCTTTCCATTACAGAACTTCAGTGTTACTGTCACATAACCACAAAGGGCATGCACTTCTGTCAAATTCGCCAGCTATAAGTGCATTTTTCAAACACACGACATTGGTTCATGCAAAGGTCTGTCTGTTGCCAAGACAGGAAAATTCATATTGATTCTGAAAGTTGAATGGCGGGACTAAGTACTAGAAAGTGCTAGGTGCACGAAACAAATTAAACATGCTAAAATTGACGATCCAAAGCGTCAATCACCGGTGATTGATTTGAAGGGCAGAAGCGTACTAGTAGCTACTTCTAAATCTTTACAGTGCCATCACATCAACGTTCAGAGTGACCTTGAAGTTGTGTATGCTTGCGTCGATGATGGCCACCACAAAATCACGATAGTTCTTTGCTACCGTCCTCCTTCTTGCCCACCCACATTGCTGAGCTTCATGATGTGTTAAACACACTTACTTGCAGCACCCTTCTAATCCCATTATATTACTGGGGGATTTCAACTTTCCCAACATATGCTGGGATCAATGCTGTAATCCTTCCTCTTCACAATGTAAGAAATTCCTTGATCTCTGCTCCTTATTTTCCCTGACACAATTAGTAGTGGAACCCAACAAGAAACTCGAACTTCCCTAATCTCCTCGACTTAATCGTATGATCTCGTTCTGACATATGAATGTTGCATGCATACCATGGTCAAGTCATCACCTTAGTCTCTCGTTCAACTTCAACAAATGTAGAAAAAAAGTTAATTTATCGCTACGATAAAGTTAACTTTGATGAGATTAATGCTGAGCTAACCAGTTTCCTTGATCCCTTTTGAACAATTTTGATTATTGCACAATAGACGAGAACTGAATTACGTTTATAAATGAAATACTTGATGTGAACCACAAATTTGTCCCCTCAAGTTAAATATCCTGTAATGTTAAAAAGCCCTGGTTCAATGCACAGTTAAAAAGCCTTTCTAACAAAAACAACAACAAAAAAGCGAATGTATCCAACAGCCAAAAAGGATGGTTTGACTTCGAAATGGGATGCCTACAAAAAGTCAAGCAGCACCTATATAACGGCAATAAAGCTTGCCAATAAGGCAATCCCCATGCACACATTGCTGACAATGCCCAAAAAATTTTGGCCTTCTAGTGACGATTCCGTGGCATTGATTGATTGTACAAGCTTACCGGTACCTGGTGATGTATGCCCCAAGCTTCTTAATTCTGCTTTCTGTAACAACTTTGCCGTACTTTCCAAACCCGAATTTCCTCGTCTTGAGTGTTGTGATCGCCCTGTTATGGATTTTATTATCATTGAGCCTTTTGGGGCTGAAAATGTAATTATGGGTCTCAAATGGTCATCAAATCCTGGTGCTGAATTAATTGATGCAAAATTTCTGAAAAGTACTGTTGTTTATTCATCTGTTTTACTTTCAAGAATGTTCCAGCAAGCCTTAGACACATATCAGCTATCTATTGATTGAAAGGTCGAGAAGATAGTCCCTATTTACAAGTCCTGCAGCAGGAATTCACTCCTCGAATACAGCCACATGTCTCTCACCAGCATTCCTCGCAAAGTTCTTGGAACATATTCTGTATTCACACTTGCAAAGCACCTTGACAGTAATTAATTTTTTATGAAAGCACAAGATGGTTTCCGAAAAAACTTGTCTTGCAAAACACTTCTTATTCTTGACAAAGGTTCTTTTGCTGACTGTATTTTTCAACTTTGACAAAGTATGTCACCAACTTAGTAAACTCAGTGTTGATCCTAACCTGTTTAGATGGCTTGAGAATTTCCTCTTAAATCAGTCACAATGCGTTGCATCAAACCGTCATACATCTTCGTTTAACTCTGTGGACTCAGGTGTGCCACAGGGATCGCATTCAGGCCCTCGTCTTTTCCTCATCTACATAACGACTTACGAAACCATGTTTCCTCCAACATTTATCTTTTCCCAGATGACTGCGTTTTCCTCCGCTAAATCTCAGATAATGATAATGCAACTAAAGGTGTCTAAATGTAAAACAATGCATGTAACTCGTGACAATATTCCTCCACGAAACTATGATCTCAATAACATTCCCCTAGAAGCCGTAAAATTCTACTAGTACCTTGGCATCTGCATAATCTCGACACTTTCCTGGTCTTTACACATTGATAAGCCAATTAACATGTTACTACCCGCATGTTAGGATATATCGGGTGAAATTTCTCTTCTGCTCCTTCCTTATTAGAATTATTCTTATACAAAACACTCATTAGGAGTAAAATGGATTATGCATAATTGATCTGGCACCCTAACTCTGCAACCCATATTCAATCACTTG